TAAATAAATAACTAAATAAAATATTAATAATAATATAAGGAAGCTTCTGTAGATGTTATGACTTAAAGGAAGTTCGGTATGTAAGTCCTACCTCTGTCCTGCTCTGTATCAATGGGGTCGCAACAGTGACTTTTAAAATGTGCAGTACTACCTGCATCAAATTAATTTTGTTTGCTGTTGTGCATACTTTTTCAAAAATATTAAAAGTTTATTGCAAGATATTAGTGCTTGAATTCAATAAAAAGATTTCAAAACATCCGCTATTGTCATGATTGATCTGATAAAGACAGTCTGATGTGCGTTATCAGGATGTTTAAAGAAAATTATCCCTGATATTCTTTAGAAGACTAGCAACCTTTCTCTCATAAGAAGTCAGTGTAAGATTGTGTATTGAAGGCAGAAGGGTGTTTAGTTTTGTGAGCACATCTTTTTCTTTACATGACTCTCAGGCTTGCTATCTTCTATTTCAATTAGAAGTTTCGGAACAAGAAACTTTCTGGACCACATAAAATTCCTGAGAAACAAGGAATTTTCTAACAGTTGTTCTGAACTGGTAACTCAAAATTGAGCTAGGGCAGTCTTTATTGGATGCTTGATAGCTGTGTATAATTCTTGAGTTCCTGATCTGAAGTTCATGCTCACCTAGTCTTGTGTTTATTAACAGCTACTATAGAGCTCAACATGGAAAGGAATACTTGGAAAACCTACCTACAGCCAAGGAGTTCCTTAGAATAGGATTTTGGGAGGGTTGTACTTCATGGGGTATAGTTGATTTTGTATAATTGGGGGGGGGGGGGTCCCAGTTATTCTTGTTCCTGAGAAATTGATACTACTTTAAGGTTTAAATATCTAATAATCGGTCCTTAGACCTTTTTAACTACTGTTGTAATGATCTTATTACTGAATATTATAAATACTTTTGCTACCCAGCAAAGGCTTATTTAAAATCTGTCTCTGTAAGACAGGGTAACCATTGCTTACCTGTTACTTGGATTGGAATGAATAAATTACATAAAAAATAACAATTCAGTTACAGCTGGGAACTTGCTGAAAATAGCCTAGTTGAGGTGGAAGAGGAGTTAATATGAGGTAGCAGAACCTTTTGATCTGAAATTTTAAAAAACTACATTGTTTCTGAGAATTTCCTGAGTTCAGTTTTCATCCCTTTGATTTTCTTTTTTAGAACTATGTTAACTTTTTATTAAGAAAGAGTCCTCTTCTTTTTATTTTACCACAAGATACCATACCATATCCAATCAACGTGCTTGGAACAGTGGTACAATGTAAGACTTACCTTGTGGTGAATTCCAAATCTGGCAACGTTTGCAACCCAATTTGTTTATCAGTTACTGTCATGAGAGATTCTCAGGTACTGTGCAGTTTTTCTTAAGTATTTCCTCTTGCCCATTTCTGCGTGCAGGTTTTTGGTGCACTAGCATCTGAACCATTTAAAGTGAGTGATGGCTTTTATGGGACTGGAGAGACCTTTATGTTCACTTTTTCTCCAGATTTTGAGGTAAGTCATAATAACTTTGTATGCTTTTGCTTTTTTGCCTCCATATGCATTATCTTAGGGTAATTACTGAATAAATCTAACAGTAAATAATCTGAAAAATTCTAGGAGTTGGCCCAAAAAATGTTGTCATACTAGGTTTTTCAACAGAATCCGTAAGTGCACAGTAAATCGGTAGTGTTTGCATAGTGAAAAACATATTCAACCTCTTCTGTTGTACTGAAGATTTTTCTACTATTCTAAATTCTGCCAGGTATCTGTCTGAAAATTCACAAATTGCATCCTTTTAAAGGGCATATCATTTAACCTAAGCGTATTTTCTTGGTATTTTTCATTGTGTAGAGGTTTCAGTGCTCAAAGACGACCTATTTTGAAATGGTCTTATTTTAAATAGCATAAACTGTAAGAGAATTTTTGTCTGCATGTATCTTGTCCTTGAAGTGTCTGTGTAGACTTGGTGACTTGATTAAATTGGCCTCTAGCCACCCATAGTGTGTCTTTACTGGTTTTGATTTCCCTTCCACCCAAACAAAAAGGTCAGATATTTTAACTTAGTAGTCTGTTTTGATTTTTTTCATTAGGTTTTCAAATGGACAGGAGACAACATGTTCTTCATTAAAGGAGACATGGACTCCCTTGCTTTTGGTGGAGGAGGGTAAGTTATAATTTCTCTTTGTCATTAGAGTCTGTTAAAAGTGTGTATGTCTGCACACCTTTGAAAAGAAAATTTGGAGTTAACTTCAGTTTGATAGCTCAGGACTCAATGGTTACCAGCCAAGAAAGTTTTAGTATGTCAGATGTTTAGCTTCCTATGTTCAGGAAACTTAAACAGGAGGTTTGTCTTCAGCATAGTGTGGCATCAGGTTTCAGCCCTGCAAGGTTATGATGTCTTGCATGCTCTACTGGAGTGTATGTGTTGGTATATTCAGAATGGACACAAGATAGTATGATTCTGAAAGTATGTAGATCTGAAAATTATGTGTAACTAGAAGAGGCTTGAATTGAAACTGTACCATTCCAAGACATGCCAACGTCTTCAGAAATTTTATGTTGTTTCACCCCTTTTTTTTCCCCCCATGCAAGTGTATAAGCTTTTGAGCTGTTTCCACTACTTCTTATCAGCATTCTCTTCACATGTAAGAGTACTGTTATGCCTTTTTCTTAATACAAATTGAAGGGGCAGAAAACTGAGGAATTCTGGTTAGCTTTTTATTTCAGAATAGCTGAAAGAGGGATATTGCCAAATTAGTAATAAATAGTGCTAAAAAAAAAAAGTCTTTGCGGCTTCAAATTTATCAACATCTGTGAGGTACTTGTGTTAAAAAAGAATTCTGTAATTCCTCCTCATTTCTGAATTCTGAATGAAAAATTCATTCATAAGTTTAATGCTTACTCCCTCAGTCTTTTTATTTAATATATTGTCTGTCTTGCAGGGGAGAGTTTGCTCTTTGGCTCGATGGTGATCTCTACCATGGAAGAAGTCATTCATGTAAAACATTTGGGAATCATACACTTTCTAAGCGAGAAGATTTCATTATTCAAGACATAGAAATCTGGGGTTTTGAATGAGGATTTAACTATTTCTACAGGGTATTGTCCCAAACCTGACAAGAATCAGTGCAGCTCAAAAATCCCTGGGAGCAATATAATGCACCGTTTACCTTTTTGATTTTTTTTGTAAGTTTTCAGCATGGCCATCTAGTTCTTATTTTGAAATAGCAGACTTTTTTCATGCTCTCACATCTGTAATATACTGTCATACTTTTTCTAAGCTGTAGGCACTTTTACAAAATACAGACCATGTGGACTAAAAATTAACATTAGTTACTTTGAGCCTTGCAGCCTACAAAATTTTCTTATCCTTATTACAGTTGCCTCCCGGGTTTCCCACACACACCTTTCTGCAATCCTGCTAGGGGGCTGCTTCATTGAATATAGGTTATTATTTTTGTACTCAAATTATGTCTATGAATGAAGTTGCCCTCTGTGAGCCTATATAAGAAAGCTGCGTGTGGGTATTTGGCAGCAGTACCGCAGAGGTTGGTCCAGACAATGATGGGTTAATTCATATGGTGCCACAAATAGATGAGAAGCCTAGCATTCCTCCTTAGCACATACTATTACACGTTAGAAGATATCCAAAGTCAACAGTGCCACTTGTCTTGTTTATTGTTCATGTTTAGAAAAAAGTCAGTTAATAGTGTTCTAGCTGCATGCTGATGGTATGAAAGAGG